GCGGGGAGGAGCGTGGCCCACTCTGCGCGGCGCCCGCATCTGTTGACCAGCCCAGCGTCACGCGGGGCAGCTGTTTGAACAGCTGCTGGTGAACTTCCTGCTGTTGGCTGTGGATGAAGCTTGTCTTTGGTGCCTGCTCACTGTCTGCTCTTAGCGTTTCTTCCTTATTTAACACCTTCTGTTCTGCACCAGGCTCTGGTCTGCACAGGCTTTGAAGATGTGGGCTCATTTACCAAACGGAGAAAATGTTAATTCTGAGGGTCGTCCTGAAAGTGGCTTATTCTTGCTCTCCGGTAGTCCCTTAGCTTTATTATTTTAGTTACAACTTAATCATTTGGTAAACAATTTGCTTTTTGAACTTCAGCCAGAATTTCTCTCATCTTAAACCATCATTTATGTTAACTTCCTACGTCTGCCCATCGGTAGCTCTGTGTGCATCCCCAGAATAGTGACCACATGTCAGACTGACCCAGGCACGAGGGTTCTGTTTTACTTCCCTTCTGTGAACAGACGGGACCTAGAGGGGATATGTACACACGCACACACATGTACGCAGCACGTGCACACACGTGCACACATGCACACACACATGCACACACACGCGCGTGTATGCACAGCCAAAGGTAGACCTCGTGTTTGCCAGTCTCTTTGTCCTGTTGGGACGCACTTCCTGCAGGCAGAGCCGCACTGTGAGCTGCCGTCCTCTCTCCACAGGTGAGGGACTTGGCCGTGGCCTACCTGCTGGTGACGCTCACCTACCTGTACATCGGGGTTCTGGTCTTCGCTTCCTTCCCGTCACCACCGCTGCCCAAGGACTGCATCGAGCAGGTGAGGCCTGGCACCCTCCGTGGGATCAGACCCGCCCTTCGGAGTGTGAGCGACGCTGACCACTGAGCACCCGCAGGGCCAGCACTTCTCCGATGGTGCAGTGGGAGGTGCGGTGTGAGCGTCACGGGTGTGCGCGTCACGGGTGTGAGTGTCACGGGTGTGAGCGTCACGGGTGAGTTGTAAAGGTGGCTCCAGCATGATTGTGTTGGTCATGTCTCATTTGGTAAGAAAACAGGTTCGAGTGGCTGCTGTGACGTGAGCCTGGGACGTCCCTCCCCAAAGCCTTTGGCTACCAGGCATTTGCCGCAAACTCCCCGACGCAACAACCCCCGTAAAGCCAGTCGCCACCAACAGCAGTGTCCGTGGGGTTTTGTTTGAGGCGGCGGGGAGGGGGCTGGGGGGGTGACTAGCTACTTTTTTAAGAAGCCAAACTAACATGGAGAAGAGTCATGAGAGGAAATAGAGAAACCCTGTTCTATTTGACGATGGACTGAATAGCAGTGACACGGGGACAGACCTGCTCCCCCTGCTCTGTGCTCCTGGCTGTGGGTCACACTGAGAGGGCGGCCATGCCCCAGGCAGGGCAGGCACAGCCTCCGTTCAGTTGCCATTAAATACACGCGGATGGTCATGTGGGCCTTGGGAGCAGGCTCCTCCGCGGGCGAGGGCAAGGCTTTTGTTGTCGTTCTGATGCCACATCAGCTGCAGGCGGATACTTTTTAAAAATATATTTTATTGATCTCAGAGAGGAAGGGAGAGGGAGGTTCCTAAACACTTTCCGTTCCTGGACTCAGCTCTCCGAAGGGAATAGGAGCACAGTCCGTGGGCAGGCCCCGCCCCCTCGTGGCCCCGGCGCTCACGGTGCATAAGGCACCCCACCTCACAGACGTGGGCGCCGAACGTGGTTTTAACACGACTCTCTCTCGCTTGGGCTAGAACTTCCTGGACAACTTCCCCAGCACTGACATCCTGTCCTTCGTGGCGCGGATCTTCCTGCTGTTCCAGATGGTGACCGTGTACCCGCTCCTGGGCTACCTGGCCCGGGTCCAGCTGCTGGGCCACGTGTTCGGGGACCCGTACCCCAGGTGAGGAGGGCTCCCCGGCCGGCAGGCGCCCAGGGCCGGGCCACGGGGCCTTTGCCCATGAAATGTCAGAGGACATGTCGCGGCCCTTCTCCCTGCAGAGCTTTGGAAATAGGATTCCTTGTGCAGAGTTAGTCCCGGTGGCTCCTCCCGGTGGTGAGTGAGGGCTGTGCCAGGACAGTGACCCCCTGACGCAGCTGCACCGACCCGCACGCCGCCGGGAAGCTGGTGGCAGAGACCCTGGGCGGCCTCCTTGAATGAGGCGATTGCTGTCCACTTAGTTACCACAGGCGTGAGCTTTCACACGCGGCCGCTGCCGTGGAAGGCGCGGCGCCGAGTCAGTTTAGGGTCTTTGCTTGCGTCACCGTCGCTCTCGGCCTCTCACGGCGATGAGGAGCTGTGAGTCGCTGTGGCATCGCTCAGGCTCCCGGGACGTCCGTGGGCCCTGGGTCCCCTGCTCGCTCGCTCAGTCTCATCACAGCCATCCTACTAACCAGTACCGAGGCCCACCCTGTTTATTGGGAATACGTTATCTTAAGAGAACTTTTGGATAAAATTTGACCAAAAAGATTATGTTTACAGTAACCAACAGACAAATGGTCTAAATCAGTTCTTCCTTGAGGTGGACGGCTGCGGTCTGTCCTCCGTTAAACAAGGAACTCGTTCTGAATGTGTTGGTCATAAGCCATAAACTTCTAAAAGCAGGAGGCCGGCAGCCGGTGCTGGTGGCACCCGTCTGGGAGGAGGGTTCGGAAATGTGAGTCAGGTGCCGCCGTGTGTGCCCGGCTGCATTTACAGGCCCCAGGATGCAGCGCTGCAGGGAGGCCAGAGGGAAAGGTCCAGGCGGATGCGCTGGCCCTGCTCGCTGCCGCCACCTGCCTGGGGTGGGCTGTTGGAATGTGTTTCCTTCTTGGGAAAGGCCTGGCATTTCCCTTGTGCTCACAGGACGTTCTGCCCCCACCGCCAGCGCCACACTGGCGTTACCCCAGCGACAGCCCTCCGAGGACGGTGCCTCAGAGCCAGTCCTCTGGCGGGCCCCCAAGCATGTCAGACTCGTGGGCGGCGGGCCGCATGCCTCGTTTATTTCTGCCGTGAGTCTGACATGCTTGCACACCCTTAGAGTTTACTGAGGACCCAGGAACTCCAGTGTGTATCTATCAGTATTTAACACGCAAGAAAGTAAGACCAAGAGTTTTAAAAATATTAACTTCTTTAAAAAGCACTAATCAAACCACTACTTGTTAACATCAATAACATGTTTATGAATAATAGCTACTTCCAAAATAACTTCCGTTTTATATTTTCAAAACGCTTTAATGCCTGATTTACGATCGTTGGGTTCTTTTATCTCCTCCTGAATTCAGACTGTTGTGCCGTGTTGTGTTCGTGTAACTGTATGAAGACAGCGCGCCTGCACACAGACACGCAGGGGACACCGATCCGCCTCGGGGCCTTTTCAGGGCTCGGGGAGCCTCTGCCCTGGCCCTCTGCCCGCCTGGCCGGGGGCAGTTCCTCAGATGTCAGCTGCGTCTGACGCTCCGTCACCTGGACCCGCTGTCTGTCCTGTGGACGTTTTGCCATGTCCCCCAGGGGTCTGTGACCGCGTGTCTAGTTCTGTGCACGAACGGTTCACTGGGTTCCCGGATCCTCCAGGTGTTGGCACACTCACTAAACGTGTCAGAACACACACCCCTAGTGTCACCATCAGGGCCACCGGCGAAGGCTCGGGGGCGATCACCGGCCCTGAAAGTCCTCGCTTGTTCCGGGAACTCCATTTGGTCATTGGCCACACAGACCACCAGTTGTTTTCCTTGACACGACAAGTGTCATTCATTTCCAAGAGTGCCCGGCACATGCCCGTCGGGAGACCTCGCCTGTGGCCCTCAGTGAGTGACAGTGTTGTTGGGGGAAGGCGAGGTGTCCCGGCCGGGCTCCCAGCTCCCCCGGGACACCCTGGTCTCTGGTCCGTGGCGGGGGCTCCACGGCGGGGGCCTCGGATGTGCCTCCTGTGGGACGCTCAGAGAGAAGGTGTGTGCTCAGCCGAGTGTGGCACAGCTGGTAACCTTGGCTCCTGGCCCGGGCACTGCCACAGCCTTTCTGAGGGTCTGGCACCGAGGAGCAGGTGGGACCCGCACAGCCCCCGGCCACCCAGGCTGTGGCCACACTCTGCCCTCCGTCGCTGTGCAAAGCAGTGATGTCTGGTGTGATTATAAAAATAGTTTCACCTCGGGGACGTCCTGAAGGTGCTGGGAACTCCCCCGGGTTGTGGTTGCACTTGGAGAACCACCACTTCAGAAAGGACACACATTCGTTTCCTTTCGTGACGCAAACACCGAAGTAGCCAAGGCGCCCCCCCCCCCCCCCCCGTCTCCCCCGGAGCGATTCTGAGGCGGAGCTTCTGGGGAAGAGTCAGAGCGGAAGCCCGAGCACCTTGTCGTTCATCGGGTGTGAGACTCACCACTTCTGTGTAGGAATAACTTTCTTATGTTTAAGTCTGTGATCATTATCGGGGATTAACGAACCTCTGACAACTTGGGCTCAAAAGTTGCGCTCGTACCTCAGCTTGGCGTTTGAGAATGAACGTTCTGGGGAAATGGAGTTGTTTCTTGAGCATCAGGTCTCATCCACATTATTCTTATTTGTGTCCAAATGGACTCCCAGCCCCTGTTAGCGCCTCGTCCATGGACTTAGCGGGCATTCTATTCATGGTAAATGCTGAGTCTGAAAAATAAAATCCTGCCCATTTTCCTTTGTCCTCAGTTTACTGTATCTAATTATAAAAGTAAAATAAACACCTTAAAGACATGGTAACATATAGGCTATTTGTTAAACATAGAAAACAGAAAAAATGACCCCAGATCCCAAATCTTTCAGAACCGCCATTGCCCGTGCAGCCCTCCCTCTGACGACGCCCCGGCGGTTTCAGGGTCCCGCGCAGTCACAGTCCCGCCGGCTCCCCACGTGGCCCAGACGGTGTTTGCCATCTGGGTGCCAACGATGAGGGTTCTGAGTGATTTTCATTGGATCCCGTCTGTCTAGGGCACTGCTGTTTGTCACGGCTCTCGCGATGGTACAGCTGTTGTCAGGATTTGACTGAGCAGGACTGTGGGTGGGAGAGTGACCTCTGACACGGCACCGTGAGGGCGGGCCCAGCGCCAGCGCTGCCTCTGCCTCCGCGGGATGTGACTGTCATGTTTCAGACGTTCTGATTTTAGACACGTTAATGGTGAAGTGTGTTCTCGCATTAGTGGTGATAATGTGCCTGTTTTATTTTTATTTTTTCCCCCGAAACGCATCACCTAGCATCTTCCACGTGCTGGTCCTGAATCTGATTATTGTGGGAGCTGGCGTGAGCATGGCCTGTCTGTACCCCAACATCGGAGGGATCATAAGGTACTGCTGGGGGCTGTGCCGCTTCGGGGTGCTCTCTGCTGGGGGGCTGTCCCAGTGTTGCTGCTGTTTCATTTAATTGTGTGAGATTTCAGGGTTTAATACGGTGACGTGCACGTTCTGCTGTCGCTTACGTCTCGTCTTTCATTCTGCTCCTTTCCCACTAGAAACACCAGGGCCCCTGAGCTGTGGGCACTGCTTGTTCTTTCTCTCATTGTTGTCTATTGTGTCCCTTGCTTCTCACCCAAGTGAAAGTGATGTCTCATCCATATTGCATCATGTCTTGGGCACCCGGAAGGTCTCTTATGTGCCACAGCTGTGCCCTGACTTTCTGCTCAGGAACACGGTCCAGGGAGAAAGGTCCCAATAGGAGGTGAAGGAGGAGATCTGACTGCGGGGGGTGGGCACACGGTACAATATACAGACCTCGGAACATGGAAACCCACACCTGACACCTATGTGTTCATGCTGACCAGCGTCACCCAATAATTTAATAAAATAAAAAGAACATAGTCCAGTGTCAACTGTCGTCAGAAAGGAAGAGTCCAGGTCCCAGAGGGCTCTTTCCTTCCTGTTTTCCCAAAGACATTGTGACGTTTGGGGAAAACATTGAGTGATTGGGAATCGTGGTGCCCCCGAACCTACAGAAAGCAGGGCTGAGTCACTGTCCCAAGAACATTCCCTGAGATCGGCGAGCAGCACGCTGCCTGTGGCCACACAGACAGGTTCCGAGTGAACTGTTGCTAGTGAGCCGGAGGCAGTGCTGCTCCGCAGGCACGGGTGTGGGTGTGTTGTTACGACCTTTGATATCGATGCTGAACGCTGCGAGGTGGTCATCTGCTCACCTTTAAGGAGATGCACAAGCCCCTCACACACGCAGATGCCTAATCCTATATAATAAAAGGCTAATATGCAAATCGACCAAACGGCGGAGCGACCGGTCGCTATGACGCGCACTGACCACCAGGGGGCAGACACAACGCAGGAGCTGCCTCCTGGTGGTCAGTGTGCCAAAAGCTGGGCTCACGGCCGGTGAGTGCAGCAGTGGTAGCGAGAGCTTCTCCCTCCTCTGCGGCAGTCGGACATCCCCCAAGGGCTCCTGGACTGCAAGAGGGCGCAGGCCGGGCTGAGGGACCCCCCCCCCCTCCAGTGCACTAATTTCATGCACCGGGCCTCTAGTTAGTTTATAAAAGATCAAAGCGAGAGAGCCCATCTCCAGATGTTCCTGAGGAAGTCGCCCGGGTTCGAGGGACGAGTAAAACTCTCTTTGTCGAGCAGATGCCGTAAAGATGAACAGGAAATAGTGGTTTATAATAACTTAGCAGGTAAAACGATTGGAACTCCAGTGCGTATGTCAGCAACAATGGATCCCATGGGCCTGCTGCCTCCGACTGGGGAGGGTGGAATTACGCTGTCGTCACCTTTCTTGTAAATCAGAAAAGGCAAAAGGCAGGATGGCTCTTCACCCAGGCGCTTCCTCTCCAGGTACTCAGGAGCCGCCTGCGGCCTGGCCTTCGTGTTCGTCTACCCGTCCCTCACCTACATCCTCTCCCTCCGCCAAGAGGACCGCCTGACGTGGCCCTCGCTGCTCTTCCACGCCCTCCTCATCGTCCTGGGCCTGGCCAACCTGGTGGCCCAGTTCTTCATGTGACACTCCTGCTGCGCCCGGTCTCCACCCGTGCGCCAGCCACCGCCGCGCCGGTCACCGCCGGGCCGGTCAACACCACGGATAACCCGAGAACAAGGGCAACAGCCACCCACTCGCCCCTGAGCCGCGTGGCTCCGTGCGGGGAAGGGACGGTGGGAACGCTCTGTCTCCACCTGCCTCCTGTCACTCGCCTCCTCACTCTCACCGAGTCCTGAGTGGGAGGCGTGCCCTTGGGAACGTCACGCTGTGTTGCTTTTAGATGTGAGGTGGGCGTGCATTTGGGCGACAATGAAACTCTCAGGGTGTCCCCTGCCGGGACTTTGCTGTTCCAGGGCTCACTGCACTCCCTGCCATTTTGTCACTTGATAGACGATGGTTGCAGTTTGCCTAAACCTTTACTGTTTGGGACAGTAAACCAAATACCTCATTTTCTAAAAGGAAGTCTCCATGACATCAGTGTTAATAGACTGAATTTTTAACCATGAAAGAAGAAAGAAAAAGAAAATGTCACGAGGCCCCATGGTCATGAACTTTATACAAAATAAATGAACTAATGGAGTTTGTTGCTGTCTGACTTTTGTTTCTAATCTGGTGTCTTAGATCAAAATTCTAGTTCCCCAAAGTCGAGTGTGATTGCCCCATCGGTCGGGGGGGGAGGGGGGCGTGTCTTCTGCCCTTGGGAAGGGGGTGACGGCAGGGCCAGCGGGAAGAGTGGAGGAAGCAGAGCTACTGGCCCCACGGGGAGAGGGGGTGGAGGAGGGAGGCCAAGGGAGGTCTGCCTCCCAGTGTGATTCATTCCCACAGGGCAGGGTTGGCTCTGGGTGAGGGGTGCCTGCAGAAGGAGACCCCCACCCCGCTTGTGTAACTGGCGGCGTATTTCAGCGAAGCCCTCACCTCGTCCACAGACGCAGACGTACACCGAGGACTGTTCCCCAAAGCTCTTGTGTTAAAGGTCTCATTGGGAACGTGCCCAAGCAAACACACCAGCAGAGAAAGTCACAGGCTGACACCCTGAGAGGCTGAACCTGCTCTACGCACCCGTGTTCCTTTCCCCCAAAATACTTGAAGCCACTTGGGGTCGGTTTGTCGTTTCATCTCCACAGCCTTACGAGGCGCTCACGAGCCTCTGGGCCGGCTGTCCCTGGCGGCGGAGGCAGTCGGGGAGGGGTGGTGGCGGGGCCTGCGGGGGAAGCGGGTGGGTTAGCGGCGCCCCGTTCGGGTCTGGCTCTGTTGACCTGTCTCAGCACAGGTGACGGGAGCACGCGTGTCTGCTGGGCAGTCCCTGCTCTGCGCTCCGTCTTGTCGGTCAGAGTCCTAGGAATCGGACGCCGGGGGCTCCTTGAGTCTTGCAGGCTCGATCCCTGCTCTCCCCAGTGGCCTCTCTCATCTCTGAAAACAAGTTTTCAGCTCTGGCTGGTTTTGCTCGGTGGTTAGAGCATCAGCCCAAGGACCAAAGGGTCCAGGTTCAATTCCTAGTCAAGGGCATGTACCTGGGTTGCTGACCCAGGTCTGGGCGTGTGCAGGAGGCAACCAATTGATGTGTGTCTCTCACGTCGATGTTTCTCTCGCCCCCTCTCCCTTCCTATTTCTCGAAAAACCAATAAAATATTTTAAAACCAAATCTATAATAATAAAAGCATAATATGCTAAATAGACCAGACATCCTTCCGGACGACCTTCCGGGTGAAGCAGGTGCCCGAGGGAAGCCGGTGCTGCAGCCAGGGGAAGGAAGGCCTGCTCTTGCACGAATTTTGTGCACCAGGCCTCTAGTGAATAAATAAATAATAAAACTTGAGTTGGCATGGCCTCTTGTCCAAACGCTTGACGGTTTTCACACACGGAAACATGATTTGATCTGTTTTTGCCCATTGAATGACCAACGTGAACAGGACAATGAATGTGTCCGTCACTGAACTAGCAGGCACCGTGTGCATTTGCTTTTTGTTTTCTCCGAAAGACTTTGAACCCCGACTCGGGCTCATGCTGAATGGCGCTGCCTTCTTCAGTTTCTTGTCCTGACAACCACCCGGGCCTGGGGCTCAGCTGGCCGGCCCTCTGTGCGGGGGGTGTGCCTGGCGCCCACGTGAGGCTGCGACACGGGCTCATTCCGACCCCCCGTGATGAACTGTGGACTTGCTCTGCCATCATCGCTCCGCACTTTCTAATTCCATTTCTTTTACTTTTTGCTCTGATGTGGTTAACTTTAGTTTCTGTGGATTTAACTTATTTAACACACAACTGAGGACGTTATAAAGTTAAAGTGGGTTTTCTAGAGAAGTCCTCCTCCGAGAGGCTCTGGGTGGGTGGCGGTTGGCTGGTCCCGGTCAGAGGACACACACACACCGATGAGTGACCGTCCCACCAGCGTCGAGAGGTCCTGGAGAGAGAGGAACCCCACTGCCGAGGGGGCACCTGAAAGGGAGTCTTTTCTTGACAGTCAGTGTATTTACAAACCCAGTCAGCTGCTCCGTGGGGGTGGAGAGGTTTTTGTTTCTACTTGGAGTTCACGAGGAGAGGTTTTGTCTGTGTTTTGATTTATTTTCATAAATAACTGAACTGTCGGTGCCTTGGAGGGCGCACAGGTGTGGAGACGTTCATGTCACGGAGGACGTGTGATCCAGTGGAGGCGCCGTGTGCATGGTTGGCTGTGAGCAGGGGCTGCTGGAGACAGAGACACTGACCCTCCCAGTGGGCGCTCGGCGGGGGCTGGGAGAGGCGCCAGGACCACGCTGGGACCATGCGAGGACCATGCGAGGACCACACCGGGACCACGTCGGGACCACGCCAGGGCCACGTGATGGCCACGCCAGGACCACGCTGGGACCACGCCGGGATCATGCGAGGACCACACCAGGATCACTCTCACGCGTCTCCTAGCGACCGCCCAGGACTTCAGACCCCGATGCATCACCTCAGGAGGCTCCTGTGGAAGGGATGCCTTTATTGGCGAATTCCGTGGAAGACGAGTTTCATGAGGCGTGTTCCACGGCTTCTGTCTGCTGTGTTGTTCTCTCTGCGTTCTTAACACTGCGTGACTCACTCGGAGCCTCTTGGCCGGCAAAGCACACTGACTAGCAGGGGAACAGCAGCCGCACCTCGGGCAGGGCCACCTGGATGATGCCACGGAGCCTCCTCCGAAGGCTACTGAGCGCTGAGCGTGGAGGCGGCGGGCGCTCCTGCTGAGCAGAAATCTCGAGGCTGCGTGTTTTCTGCACGGAGGCCTGGCCTGCTGCCTGTCAGAGCCCGGGGGGGTGCGGGGGGAGACGCTGTCTCCTCCCAATTGCGTGTCCCACACGCTGCCCCAGTCTGGTTGACGCCTAAACCGCAGCACTGCTGTCGGGTTGCGACTTGAAGTGAGACGCTGGCCCTTCTCCGGGGACTGTGCCCGACCTCCCTTTGGATCCTGTAAACACGCACACGTTGCACAACGCCTGGCGGGAACCTCGTAACCCACACAGTGCTCCCGGGAATGTCATGTGTTCTTTAATGAGAGAAATGCCATCAAAATTGTTTTGAAGAAAAACAACTCTGGGATTTTGTTTAATTGCGTTTTGCTGGGAAATGCTGTTGCCTGACCCGGGCAAGAGAGCAGCTGAAGTTCATCATCCCTCCGCCAGGCCTCCCAGGGACAGTGCGTGTCCCATCGAGGCATCACGTGAAGGCCGCCTCTGCCCCCGGCTGGGCTGTCTCTGTCCCCGGGCGCCTCTGTCCCCCGGGCGCCTCTGTCCCACGGCCACCTCTGCCTCACGGGCACCTCTGCCCCACAAGGAGCTTGCAGTCGGCCTCGGTGAGTGTGGAGAAAGGCCTGTCTTGCCCTCAGGCCTCGTAGCCTAACTGGGGGAAGGTCATGTCTACCTGGTAGACGGCTCGTCCTGTAATAAGAGATGGAATGAGCCCCCAAGGAGCGGTGAGGGGTGTGCCTGGGGATGAGGAAGTGCTGCCCAGCGGAGGGCCCCTGGAATTAGACTTAGGTGACGAGTTGGGAAAGGAGAAGAGCCTGCACCCCTGCTGGACGTGAGATGCTCACGCCTGGGGGAGCGGGTGCCTGGCCTGAGGCTCCCTGAGCCCCGCCCTGCAGCCCTGCATCCTCAGCCCTTTCCCACCGCCCGGCTTCCCTTTCCGCTCATTGTCAGAATCACCCCCACATTTCCTGCTCGGAGGCTGGGCTGGCACGGCATCTGGCAGAGCGCGCTGACCGGCCCGGTGCCCACGGGAGCAGGGAAAGTGCCGGAGAGGCACAGGGCTGGCCGCTGGCGCCGACTTTGCCGCAGGCTCACCGGGCAGACCCGCTGCAGGGCCGAACCAGCTTCTGGATCCTGCGTTTCTTCCTTTGCAAACGAGGGCGGTTCTACTGCGGCCGCTCCTGCCTCAGAGCATCAGGGCACTGAAGCTGGGCAGGTGCCCCGGTGAGGGGTCTATCGGGTCTATCGCTACGCCCCTGGGACGCCCCGCGGGACGCCCTCCAGGTGGGGGCTTCGCCGCTGGCGGAGGAGCTGCTGGGGGAAGAACCTCATCTCCCTGTAGCTCAGATCAGGGGGAGACACCTGGAAATCGTAGCAACGATTGGTGCGTTCGTTACATCACAAAAATGAGGACCGTTTAGTCCCAATTTTATTGGCAAAACCATGTCTGCATTCCGTGCAAATAACCCCACTCCCAGTCCCAGCCGCCGTACCTGAGCCTATGACTCACGGGGGTAGGGGAGAGAGAGAGAGAGAGAGAGAGAGAGGGAGAGAGAAAGAGAGGAAGAGACTGTGACTGTAGAGGCTGGCGAGTCCGAGGTGGGGGGCAGGCTGGGGCTGGAGGCCCGGGAGAGGTGGGGGGAGCTGGGTCGGGAGGTGTGAGTGGCAGGTGCCCGGTGAGGGGTCTGTCGGGTCTATCGCTACGCCCCTGGGACGCCCCGCGGCCCGCCCTCCAGGTGGGGGCTTCGCCGCTGGCGGAGGAGCTGCTGGGGGAAGAACTTCGTTTCCCTGTAGTCCGGGGAGATCAGGGGGAGATCAGGGATGTCCTGGGAGCGCGAGGAGACACCTGGAAATCGTAGCAACGACTGGTGCGTTCGTTACATCACAAAAGTGAGGACTGTTTAGTCCCAATTTTATTGGCAAAACCATGCCTGCATTCCGTGCAAATAACCCCACTCCCAGTCCCAGCCGCCGTACCTGAGCCTATGACTCACGGGGGTAGGGGAGAGAGAGAGAGAGAGAGAGAGAGAG